CTGTATCCTGGTTGTTATCCGGGTGAGCACTCTGCAATAATTGGAGTATGATAAATTGGAGCAGATCTCCTGAAGATTTAATGCAACATTAACTCTTAACCACGGCGTAAATCAAAAGTCCTACACCCAAATCCCCACCTGCTCTTCTCGAGTCCACAGGTAAATGCTGATGATGTAGTCGTGCTTTAACTCGTTTAAGGGTAAATGGCGGCTGGCGGCGCAACGAAACATTACTTTGTCTGGTGGATAACAAACCCTTTCAAATTGTAACATAAAATAATTCCTCTGGTAAGATGTTGATCGTAACGTTTCTCTGTTAATTAACAAAAACAAGTTTCTGCCTTTTGGTTATTTCTGCATCTGCTGTGGTTGCAGCTGATTAGAGGGAAACTGAGATCTGATGCGTACAGTAGCTCCACATTGCTCACATCTGCTGGACCTGATGAGTTTGTTTAGCTGTGTGTCTATTTAGTGCAACTAGAAACATCAATTTGGTGCAGGAATCAAGTGGATTGCAGATGAACCATCGTTACAAAAATTAGAGGAGATTGCAGCATGGATTGCTAAGCCATTGTAGGAAAGAGCTTTTCTTTTCTACTTTATCAAAATCACTGTATCTTCTGTTTTGACTGGCTTGTTTTGACTGTATGCATAGCCTTTATTAATGTGAAATTATTTCCTCTTTTTTACTTTTTGACAAAGTAAAAAAGGGGAAATAAGACATATTGCATTTTATATATTGTCTGCAGGTTAGAAGACAAACTGATAAATTAGATAAGAATGATCTGGTGGAAATTTAATTTAATCGACCATGTAAACTTTATACAGACAAGAAACAAGTTTGGTTCCTTGATTGTGAAAGGCGGCTGCCTGAATTAGAAAATGTGTAGAAAAATATCAGAAACTAGATATTTTTATGTTTTTGGATAACAAAAACCTATTTTTTTTTTTCTTTATATACTAAGAAGCAAATATTTTTTTTTGTTTTAAAGAAATTTTACCATTTTATTCAAAATTTTGTTTTATCAAAATTCTGTCTAGTTCAATGTGCAGAACCAAAATGTTTGCAGTTTCAGGGTTTTGCTTAAAACAGTATTTCATATGTGACTTTATGATATAGGGTTTAGCTTTTATGGGGTCTTTGCTTGAGTTATGAATGAAAAATCCATCTATTCTTCACATCCTGCAAGTGATAAAATAGTGAAACAAGTTATTACTTATCCTTACCTTATAAAAAATCAGAGATCTGAAAATGGGCCTGAGCAGCATGTTGTAGAAAACTGATTTCAGAGCTAACTTTGATATTTTAGATCTCTACTATTGATTTCTCCTCTTTTGTGGGATTTTTGCTCCACTGCTCCATCTCCACCAGGTGATAACCAACACAATGCCTTTCAGATTATTTCTTTTTGGAGGGAAAAAGCAATTTCTTTTTTCAGAGACACACCTCTGCACCCTGAGCACGTTTACAAAACAGGAGGTTTTAAAAAGAGATCTTATTTCAATATTTTTCATTAACCTTCAATTGGTGCTGAGATTCAGCCTAATAGAAATAATTAAAGTCCAAAAGATGGATAGCGCTCTGTTTCAACAAGGCTAATGAAAGATTTATATTCCCTCAAAATGAAATCTGTAGTTTGATCAGGCGGGTTAAAACACTCTTGTGTTCGGTTTGTATGAAGGTCCAATAGTTTCCTTTCAAACTACCCTGATCCTCCTAAAACTGAATAAAGTGATGCTGTTTATTTTCAGTTTTTATTCTGTTGTTTGACTTAAGTTCGTTTTATGGTCCGTCTACCCCATGACTCTTTCAGGGGATCATATAATTGGTTTTCTTCATCGTCATTTACAACCTCTAATACAGATGCATTGAAAATATAGCTGGACTTCATAGCTGCAGCATTTCTTGCGTTCTTGCATGAGGTCATGTAATGCATGTGTCACATTGCTTTGTGGGGGGAAAAAAAGCAATGTTTGCAGACCTCTTTGGTTTTATGTGCCACCTGGTTTTTGTTCTGACATGGGGGCCACTGCAGCTCAGCTCACATGTGAGTTAATGTGGAAGCAGAGGCAGAATATTTCTCTTTGAATCTATGCATGAGACAGCTGCTCTCAGTTTTTTTTTGCCCAGTGAACCAGAAACTGTCTTGTAGAAAGAAATGTTTACAATCATTTTGAACCTTTAGTCATTTTGTAGTTCCAAATAGTGATAAGCCACCATAGTTTTGTTTGGAAGAACTTAGATTTGAGCCTGAATACTTATGACCATGTGATATTGCAGTCTTTCTTTTTTAATAAATTTGTAAAAATGTCTACATTTCTGTTTTTTTTTTTCTGTCAAGATGGGATGTTAAGCGTACATTCATGAGAAATAATATGAACTTTTTTGGTTTTAGCAAATGCAGCAATGAAACAAAGAGTTAAAATTTAAAGGGATCTGAATACTTTCCGTACCACAAGCAGACACAGAAGACTCGTTGGTGTTGCATCTAGTCGTGACATTTTTAAATGAACCATGACAGTCATATATTTTTAATACATTTTGTCCTATTTTATACATCCAATGTCTCCAAATCAACTCATGTTGTAAGAACTTTTGTATTCTTCTTGTTTTAAAACTGTGTGTTTCTCATATAGTTAAACTTCATTAGTAAATTATACCAATAACCCAAAGGCAAACTGTTGTATAGTGATTTTTTTTATAAGTTTAGCACAGCCTTTCATAACAAACAAGCTGCCAAAATCTTTTTATTTTTTTATTTTTTTAAAGTCACATTTTGGCCATTTTCATGTTTGTCTAATTGGAGTGAATTTTTCCATTTGCAGGCTATCTTTGGATGCTGTAACCAGTCATTTAATGTGGTGCTAAGGCTAGTTTGAGAGCTGTAATTTTATCTGGGGACAATTTGCCATGAAATTGTACGAGACATTTGAAAACCTGACGTCTGATGCATTATCTCCTGGCCGATGAGAAGAAATGACAGTGACATGTGAATTTGTCCTTTGAGTAATGCATCCTTCATAAATGAAGAATTACCTTCTTTCAACAATCCCAGATTTGAATGAAACTAGGATTGAAGCCCCTTGAAGTCCCTTGTTGTTTGCTAATGGACCTGCTGAAAACAGACAACGCTGGCACATCAGTCAACATTATTCCATATTGATTTGTTAGTTTGAAAGTGATTTGCTCAGCTCTTAAACAAATCCCCACTTAGCCTCACACGTTAAATCAGTCAGATAAATAAAGACATGAGCTATACAAGCATCTTTGGATGTTCCCTTTCAAATTTACCAGTCAGTGAGTCTGACGTGTCCTAGATATTCAGCCAGACTTATAGAACCTTGATCAATAATTTAGTATTAGATTTAAAAAAAAAGAAGACAGAAATGAGGAAATTATATTAATAAAGCCTTTGAACACACACAAATATAAAACATCACATATTTTCTGTTGTTGCCCTGACAATATTATGTTGATATTACAATAGTATACAATATTACAATATTATAATGGGCAATATTGATATTAATAACAAGAAGTACAATTTTCCACGCCTCATTGAATTTCTGTTCCAAATATAAATTCCTACTAAATGTTTTTTTGTTATGTGAAAAACATGACCAAAAAGCTAATTTCATACCGTGTAAAATTTTGTGACTTTAGCTCAGGCACACTGATTTGATTTTTTTATCGTAACATTTACAAGCAACAGCAGAAATCAGCAGAGTTTTACATTGAGGCCACATGCAAACCTAAAAGTTCCCTCTTGGTCTGCTGAATGGTCCAAATCAATGCTGATTAATGAACTGAGGTCAGTCTCGGCAGGAGGAAGCCGCTATTATCTCTGATTCTGCATGTGTGAATATCTGAATGGAGGTGGAATCAAAAGGAGGCAATCAGTGTTAATCACAAAGAAAGGGCACACACTTTGATCCAGGCTTCCCTCCTCTCTGTCCTTTGTTTCTCTCGCAACATGTTTAGTTTAGAACGAGGAGGAATGTTTAGTTTCTGTTCGAGGTTTTGTCTGCCGCCACAGCAACAACAAATAGCAAAAATATTCAGGGTACTTTGTGAACGAAAGCTTGTTTTTCAGTTTTATTACTTTCATCATATTGATTCGTCTTTTCATTGTTTTTAGCTTAGACAAATAATCCACTACATTGATACAGAAGCATATCAATAATCGAGGGTTTAATCCCTTGGGCCTCATGTACATTAGTTTGTTTCTAAACTGAAATAAGACGGGGATCTGTCTAATGATACAACAATGCAAAATGAGGATTGAAAAAAAAGCTGTGTTTTAAATTTAAATTAAAAATGTCATGCCATATGTCATTGAGTAAGTCGTCTCAATAATCAAAGGTGAAAACTGTAACAGTTTTTCCAGCTTTCTGGATGTTTCCACTGGTATTTTTCAGTGGTGGGTTTCGAGTCTTTGGGATTATTTGTCCGTAGCTCTGATATCCAAAGACCTAACTGTGTCCTTATCTGATTTAACAAAAATGCAGCCATTCGTGTGTATTTATGGAAACTGCAGGTGGAATTAATGAACCATGATCAGTTTTTCCACACATTGTTTCTTTAGCTTCACCGTAAAGAAGGACTGAGCTGCATAAACACTTTGAAAAAAAGAGATCCACTTTAACGACTGGCAGTGAGTGGCTATTTCAAATGTTTGGCATTTGAAAATAGCAGACACTTTGTGTGCTCTAATAAGGCAGCATTTTAAGTCATCAATTATGACCGTGATGCATGCTATACATCCCCTTTTCTATGCTTGACAAGATCCTGCGTTAATATAATTGGTCGTGGCAGTGAGCATGCAGCTGTGGCAGTAGATAATAAAAGTGAATTATAAACGTGTTACTTTTGTCACACCTCTTCTAAGAAGAGAGAAGCAACGCGGCGCTCCCTGAAACCTGGGCGAGCCTCATTAGACTGCAGCGTTGGGTTTTCCTGCCTCTCGTTTGGCTAACATTTGTTCTTGTTTGTGTTTCAGAACTCAGATTCACTTCACAGTGGCCATTGATTTCACTGCATCAAACGGTGAGTGTTTTGACTGCAATTGCGCTGCTTGGCTTTTGTATACCGTCAGATGTGTGTCATACCGCTGGAGTTTTCTTTCTGCTTCTGATCTTCACTCTTTGTATTGTTCAGTCGCATTTATTACGAGTGCGAAACAAGATCTAATGCATTTAATTCTGATTCTGAGCAAACTGAACAGAGACGAAGCAAATCTACATATTCTGCTGCATGTCTATTGAACTTTTACATTTGCATTATATTATAATGGCTGACAAAGTTGTGCATGATTCTGTAGTGGAAGAGAAATTATCCATGTTTTTATTGTTGGGTGTCCATACTTGTTTTGGACGTCTAGAGACTGAGGTTGATCGTTGTCCGTGCAAAATAGCCCAAACTCAGTCAAATTCAAACAAGAGGCTCTTTAAAAAAAATAATTTCCAAATCATGGCTTGTCTTGTGAAATGGATTTGAGAATACTCTTTGACAAGGTCACTCAAACACTTTTTTACACTTTTTTTTTTACCTTAAATCTTTCAATCAATCAATTAATCAATCAGTCGAGTTTATTTGTCTTGCACATTTCAGCAACAAGGCAGTTCAAAGTGGTTTACATCATAAAAACAAAGCCATAAAAGACTGAGTCAATAACTGAGACTAAACATTACACTTGATGATTGCCATCATCAAAATCATCAACACATATCAAATATGTTGGTCAGTGTTGAATATATTATAGTTCAAAAGCAGCTTTAAACAGATAACTCTGACTGCATGGCGAGTGTCGTTGTCCTAATCAAAGTCACAGTGTCAGGCCTCTAAAAGGTAATACTAAAACATTAAATATCATTTTCTTTCACAGTCATAAGGTTTGTGTTGATCAGTGATAAAAAAAATAATCTTAACTGAAGTTTGTGGTTGTAACATAAAAAACAAAGTTTGTGAATTGTTTCTTTTTTAAAGGCATTTTATATAAAAACACGAAACATGAATTTCATATTGACATCCATCACAGTCCTCACTCTCTCCTTCACTTAATAACACTCCTGCTATTAAACAAAATTGCAGATGCACACGCTTTTATTGCTGCCTCTGAAATCCCATCAGAGTTTCATAATTATGAGTTTTTAGGGTTTTTTGTTGTGAATATTTCAAGCGCACACCTGGGTACAATCAATGTTTCTGGAGTGCCTCATAATGAAGCCCTGTCTGCCAAAGTTTCTTTTCCACTGATGTTAAGATTTTTGTGAAAATAATGTCACTTAGAAATAATTCCTGCATTTGACAGACACTTGGCATATCATCATTCTTGGTTATTATGTATTTACTTATAGTTTCTATGCAAATAGCTTGTGACTAAGCTGTGGATTCTTTATTTCTCAAAATAAACTCATGTGATTTTGCACACGGTTAACATTAGCACATTTTCCTTTAATAACTCAGAAAGTTACAGAAGCCTACACCCATAGCTTTTATGTTTATTTCTGCCACACAAGAGCCTGCTGTAGCTTTGTTTTTTATCCACAAAAATAAACCAGGTGGTTTCATTGCTGCATTTTATTCAAATCATCCCCTTCCCCTCTTGCAGCTGTCAGTTTGCTCTCTGCCTCCTGATGTGCATCACTGACTAAGACTTTTCCTGTGTCCAAAGGAAATCCATCGCAGTCCACTTCGCTACACTACATGAACCCTTATCAGATGAATGCCTATGCCATGGCTCTGAAGGCTGTGGGAGAGATCATTCAGGACTATGACAGCGATAAGATGTTCCCTGCACTTGGATTTGGTGCTAAGCTCCCGCCTGACGGGAGGGTGTCTCATGAGTTTCCACTGGTGAGTAAACAGTGGGATGATTTTGGACAGTTTCACCTGGACTTGACGTGGATCAGTGCGAAGGTCATTTTGATCCCCGTATTTCAGCTGAGATCATGCGTCTCGTTTAGCATGTGTGGATACGCGTCCATGCATGTTTATTGACATGCATGCGACTACTTGCACATGGCAAACATGACCCAGAAGGAATTTCCATCCCTTTGTAGTGTAAATTAGGTTCTGTAGGGCTGAAGGATTCTTAAATCAATTTAGCTTCTCTCAGCCAGCTAATGCACTCGGCGGCTGCACGGTGCAGCCTAATGAGGAGTGTGTCTACAGGGTAATGTCTGCATCACTCCATGCCGCCATTAAAATTTGCAAATTAAGATTCATCTCACCATATAATTGAAGCCTCATTTCTCTTCATGCTGTATTCACACAAGTGGGCGTAAAAGTAAAGTTACATCCCTTTGTGGAACATTTGTCACAGTGTCGGGGTTTTGAAATTTGCCCCGCGGTCAAGAAGATAGCATTTGAAGCGAGGTTTGACAAAAGAATCTCTTGTGATATCTTCTTCTTTTTTTTTTAAATTCTCCCCAAAAATGTCACTCAGCCCTCTGACAGCTTTACGGGAGCAGGGGAGTCATCATTCAATGAGATGGAAGATAAAGGGAGAATAAGAAAACAGAGGACAGTCTGAAGCACTGGTTGGCAGATTTGCTGCTCTACTCTGCAGTTTAACCTTTAGGTAACACATAATGCTCATCCGGTTTAAACACCGACCCTCAGCTCTTCCTTGTTTTTCTCGTTCTCAGTAGGGCGTAGTTGCCGAGGAGTGAGCCAGGAAAAAGATCGATAACATCCTTGTAACCGGGGGATAGTGTTACTGGTCAGAGTCTGCAGGGAAAGCTGGCAGGAGAGTACAGAGCTCACTCTTAATGAAGTGCTCTTGAGAACTCAGGACCTTTAGGCTGTGGAGAAAATTTACATTACAGCGAGACGGTGACACTGAGCGAGCAGCAAGGACGAAATTGAAGTTGGTTGTCTCAGTGTCTAAATGAGCGGCCAAAATGTATTTGGGGAGACTAGAAAATGTCTGTCTAGAAAAATGATGACAGATTGTGAGCATCTCATTAAATCATCAAATTGTTATTGCTGTCTAAAATGCTTCAACTGAATCTAACTTTTATTTTTGTACTGTTTGGCACTTATATCTCAATGAATTCAATGTTTTTACATTTTTGCAAGTGACAACCACAAACTTAAATGTAGTTTATTCACATCCCATATTTCAGTCAACACAACCTTTCATTTGTAGATGTACTTTTGAGTTGTTTTTCTTACTGGGAGTTCAAGCTGCACTCCAGTTTCTACTTACTTGCCTATTTTCTTCCAAGACTGATTTGTATTTGGTTCTAATAATGTTCCGAACAACCAGCTTTCCTGGGTTTACTGAAGAAAAGCATCCCTGCAGCATAATGCCACCACCACCGTGCTTCATGCTGGGAATAGAATGTTGATGTGAAATATTAGTTTTCAGCTAAACATAGCATTTTGTTATGTAAGCAAGAAAAGGTCAGGCAGATCAACATCTTCTACAAATTTGTTGCTGCAGAAAACTGTAAATAAGGCTCTCTAAGAATGTCTTCCATCATACCGTTTATAAAAGCCATATTTTAGAGAATGACAATCAGCTGTCCTGCTTAAAGACTTCTCCACCTGAGCTGGAGATCACTGCAGCTCCTCCAGTTTTCTTGTTTCGCCCTTCATCTTAAATGGGAATCAATGTCTTTACTGATTTGAACTTTTGGTGAATTGTTTTTAAATCCATAATTCTCTGAGATTCAAAGCTTATAATACTGACTTAGAATCAAAACCTGCTTCAAAATATCCCCACAACTTCATACCTGACCTGTTTGCTGTGTTGCTTGGTCTTCCTGAATCTTTTTGTACTCTAACAAGCTTTGGAGGCCTTGACAGAACAGCTGGCAAATTGACAACGTATCTGGCTCAACATCTATCAGTTTTGCACGGAGTTTTGATTAGTTTGGTAAATCACATCCATGTTGTTCTTGCAGTAACCGACTTGTTTTGTTCCTTTCAGAATGGCAACGTTGAGAACCCGTACTGTAATGGTATGGAGGGGATTCTTGAAGCTTACCATCAAAGCCTTAAGACGGTTCAGCTGTATGGACCCACCAACTTCGCTCCTGTTGTCAATCACGTCGCAAGGTGCAAACGCAAACGTCTCCCGCTGCGAATAAATCCGAGCACAGTTAGTTTTTCCTTGGAAGCCAGTCTGTGAATGTGGCAACTGCGCTGCTAGAGGTATTAAGTCTGCAAGTGGAGGTTTTCTCTCAGAGCAGAGAGGAGCTAATGATGGAGAAACAGTCAGCTGTAAGGCAGAGATGAAAGGAAATGGAAATCAGGCGAGGCCCGACATATTAGAGGGCCCACCGTTTTATTTTTAGACATAATGTAGATATGAAAGTGGGAGGAAGGATCACGTGAACTGCAGGGAAATTATTTCATGTCGTGTTGCCCTTCTAGAAATGCTGGTGACTTAAACTGTTTATTTAATAAAGGAGTTTTTTACAATAAGTGGGGAAAAATGGCTTTAATTTAACATTGTGACTGAAATGTCAGGGGTCAGAGTTCAACAAATTAATTTACTGGCTGTATATGAAAACCTAGTTGTTTCTCAATAAATAGAAAGCACAGGAGGTTTGTTAAAGGTGGTCAGATTTTAATTGAAATATTTGTTTTTAATAGTAATGCCATAAAGAAACCTGTCATAACTGCATGTGAAACATGCACAAATTTGGTTTTATAACCATGTGTAGTTTAATAAAACTAAAAAAAAATAATTAAAAAAAATTCAATGTTTTTGTTTTTAGAAATCATGCAATTTATCTCTCCTTTCTGAGGGACTGACGCCTTAAAGAAATTAGATTCACAGCTTTAAATAAATTATGAGTGAATCCAGTTTTGAAGCAATTTCTCTGCCCTCTAAAATTTCTGGATTTCATGACATATTCAACAAACAAGACAAAGCAATACCAGGTCTGAGAATATTATCAAATGCTGTGGAAGAAGCTCTTTGTCCACATCACCGGGTTCAAGAGCAATTAGAGACACGTCCTTCCTCCTCATGACGGTTCACAACATGAAGGAAATTCTCTCGGACGTGTGAGAGGCAGACGCTCTGAACGTGTCGCGCTAGCAGACGCTCTGAACATATTCTCACCACTTGTTTGAATTTACCAGACAGTTTTTTCCAGTGTATTATAAGCCTGGCGGGCCACCAGGCTTTACTTGTATCCCTATCAAGCTAAGAATTACTTATTTATTTAAGTCCTTTTAAAATGTTTTCATTTTTTAAGACTTTATAGTGTCATAAAGGGTGGTGGTTGATGGTGAGGAGATGACGCTTAGACCCAGGTAAAATGAAGAATATGATGGTTTAATGATGATTTGCTCAGGGAATCAGTCCAAGACAGGCAGCACGGCAGGAGACAAACGCACGGCTAACATGCCGGTAGCAACTGACTAACAGAACTAACATGCGAGCGAACACAAACCAGGACTTGGCAGTTCCACTGGAGAGTGTAGACAGCAATTGACGTTAGACATCCGTTTGACAAACTTAGACAAGGATCCGACAAGAGACAAAGACAACAGGTGGACTTAAATACACACGGGGTAATCAAGGGAACGAGACACACCTGGGAACAATCAACGGGGAAGACAGAGACAAACTCACAGGACAGAAACTGAACACAGAAAACTCTAAAAAATAAATACACAGAAACATGGATCATGACATATAGTTGGTGTCCAATCTTCCAATCTTTTAGTAATATGTGATATTTTTGAATTTCCTGTCAACTTTAAACATTTTTTTTACTCAAAAACACGATGAGCCGTTGGATGAATGACTCCCCTAGCGCCCAACCACCAGGCTTGGCAAGTTTTCTGGGGGAAACCTCAAGAGATCTGTAAAAAAAAAAAAAATGGGTGGTGACGGCTCTGCCCTTCTCTCTGCTTGAATGATCAAGGCAAAGCAGTGCAGTTCTGACGTCAAAATTACAAAATCAATGCTCAAACTTTAAGGTAATTAATCACAAAATATACTTGTGAATAATATTGTGCTCAAGAATGTTCTTTTTATGGACATCTCAGACAGCTCAGAAATCCAATGACAAAACTCCACACATTCAGAACCAGCATGCCTTGGTGCGGGTCTCCGACTGCCAGCCATCTTGTATGGCACCCGCTCCTGGCGCTCCTCCCTGCTGGTGATGGGCCACCTGGAGGTTTGTTCTTGTAACTTCTTCAGGCTGAGCCAAGCCAAACCCAGGAACCATCACCAGGATGCCCTGGTCTCCGTGTCCAGGGAAAGGCTGACCTCTTCTTGTGGGTCTGCCATTTAATCGAGATAATTGAATCACTTTTGGTCCGACTCCAATTTGCCACAGGCTGAAGCCCAGAGCAACGCTGCCCTCAGGATCAAACCTCTCCACCACAACAAGTTAGTAATTCAATGGAGGAGCAATTAAAATATGTTTAACGTTCTTTCTCTGAGAGCCATTGAGAAGAAAACAGTTCATAATGGTAGCTATCGCTTAGTTTAGCCAATAATAACTAAACATTGCACCACAAAACATAAAGTTGTTTTAATATTTCAACAACTTGCTCCAACAATAATCACTGTTGTGTATTTTAGCATTAAACATACACAAAAGACTTTAAAATCAATCATAAACTCAACTATGAATATTAGGGCGCTGTCAACTCTAAAAGCAGAACCGGCAGGGCAAATAAACCCAATCCGAAGCCGACGAGAACAAAATCCCCCAAAGGCCATGTTACTGTATTCCACGCACCGAAATGTAGGCATAAAAAGCAACCCAGAAGGCTTTTATGCATATTAAAACGTCACATTACAGTGTTGAATAATCTTGATTCAAAGCTAATGAAATTCATCATAAAGTTCTGCGTTTCTTTCAGCCTCTCCAAGGCTAATATGTGCAAATTTGAGTGGAATAAATCCTATTTTACAAACACAGTTCACATTTAAAAGAGAAGTTAAATCCAAACAAGCCAGAGAGGAGAAGAATAACTTCTCATTGTACATGAGGAGACACATGCTGTCACATCTGTTGCAGAAGGGCATGTATTTTTTTTTATGTGGCTGAATAAAGCAGTTTGTGGTGTTAAAGGTTTAAATAACATTGATGTACGACGCAAGCTGTTTCACAATATAAAACAGGGTGATAAATGGCTCATACTTTTAATATTATCATTCGCCGAATGATGAATGAAGGAATCTGTTTATCCTCGTGGGGATATTCTTAAAAGTGTCCACTGAACGTGTCCAAAGTTACAGTCGAGAAGTCGAGGAGGTCAAATGTCTCTGTAATCTTTAAACGCTGTTCATTCCTCACGCTGCTGCCACCGACGGGCACGCTCTCCGATTAAAATGTCAGCGTCTCGCAGCCAAATTTCTCAAGCTGGTGGGAGGGGAGTGGTCAGCACGACGGCTTCACCTTTGACCTGTCCTTGGAACCTGCAATGACACTTTTTGTTTTGTTTTGTTTTTTTTTCCTCCTCTGGCTCATCAAAGTTGGTCTTATAGGTGTTAGGCAATCAATAATGTTCTGAAAGAATAAGACCGCTGCGATTGCATAAACAGTTTAATAAATTATTCATGTGGAAGCCAGCGATGGGCATTTAAAACTAGGACAGCCTCGCAGTGGTGTCTCTCTGATGGGTTCTGTAATACTATCTGTAAAGACCACCGAGATGTAAGAAGCTACACAGACTTTTTTAGCTTTTTTTGTTATGTTTTTGTGTCACGATCTCAGTGCAGTGACATGTTTATTTATTTTTTGCATTTCTTGATATATTTGACACAGTGGTTACTTCTCTGCGGCTCTCGGTGGTTTCTGTCAGTCCATAGCCTCGCACATATGGCTCTTTTAAACATTATTCAAGCTCCACTTTATTTTGGTGCTGCTCACATTCCGCTTTTCATTCCTCTGACCCAGGTACGCAGCAGCCGTGCAGGACGGATCTCAGTACTTCGTCCTGCTCATCATTACAGATGGAGTTATATCAGACATGGCTCAGACTAAGGAGGCCATAGTGAATGTAAGTGCTGCTCCACACTAGCTGGAGGATGTTGATCTGTGTGTTCGGCTGTGCTGTGGCATTTCAGGTGCTTTTAATTTACTTTGGTGCAGCTCTCAGGCTTTTCTGTTACTTTCAGAGTTTGTACACCAATTGGAGGATTTTTAGCAGGTGTTCTCCCACTCTAGACTTTCCAATAGTTCTCCTTCACACTGCTGATCAATTTAAGCAACTTTCTAAAAACTATTTGATTCTAATTTGTTTTTTATTTGCGTTTTCTTTCTGGAATGTTTATTGTATTTTGATTACAAAGCTGATTTCGGGAGGAAGTTTGCACAGGAATAATCGTCGACCAGGTTAACGCTCCCCAGCAACACAGCTCTGACCCCCAGCAGACTGGGTTTAAAGGGAATTTGCGACTGTTAATCAAACCTTTCGAACAGCCACACCTTCCTTTTAAGATCTTGTCTGCTGCTCTGCTCTCTGCGCAACCTGAGTTCACTCGCTCCCGCTGGAACCAGGATTCTCCCTCTTCCATCTGCAGAGCTAAAGCCTGGATATCCTTTTGCATCCAGGCTTCGTTCTGCAGAGACAAAACCACAAAAAAAGGGACTTGATTACATCGAAAACCTTTGCAGTATGTTTTTTAAGAATATTTTTGACATTTTAAATCATAGCTGATGCTGACCAAAGCTGCTGTCACCATGGTTTTTTTTTTTTCCTGCTACATATGTTGGTATCTTTATAAATGCGTAATATGTTGGCCTAATTTGAAGATTTTCTGAAACAGTAATAATGTCAAATCTTTTAAACCCCCTCTTTTTATGCATCTGTCAAAATGAACGGTGTAATATTTGTGATGTGCTACTACATCTGAACAGAGTGAGTAATGTTTTGTTGTAAAATGATTGTGTTCATTGTCTGATCTTGGTACTCATCTCACCATCACCACCAGGAATCAGAACACAGGCGTTTGTCAACCTTTTGATACCTGCCACTTCAAGTATTTAGCATGCCGGGCCAAGTGATACATCAGTTTATCTTCCTAATATGACATTAAGCATTGTGTTTTTATCAGGTCATTACTGACATTTGCTTCTAGCTCATGCATATTTTGTAGTAGTTGTGCTCCTAAATGATGTCTCTAAGTTATGACTTATGCAACTGCACAATCTGTTTGTCTATTTATTTCTGCTCTGAATTTATGAAGCAGAAACCAATAAATAAATGCTGCAGGAAACAATGAAATTTGAACCCATTTCCAATTATAATAAACACTAATGATGGATCCATTGAACTGATTAATTCAGAGATAAGAAATGAGTATTGAATGGAGTAAAAATATGCTTAATTTAAATTTATCTCATGTAGACTATACCAATTTAAATCTCTAATAAACCACTTGAGTTTGATTAAATGTTGGTAATTCACTTTAAAAAGGATTCTTGGTCAGTTTTATATGTTCCTGTCTTTGTGCTGGGTAAAAACTCCAACTTACCCCGTCCTGCACCCAGACTCTCTCACTTCAACAATTTAGTGAATCAACTTTATTTGAGAAAATATTTGGAAGGATATCAGTCAAGTTTTACTTGGAATAAGTATGACTCCAATGTCGAGTGAAATTGCTGACCAGTTGTCTTGTAAATCCATGTAGGCAAAACCAAATTAACTTAATTGAAGTTTTAAGATATCCATTTATAAAAATGAAAGCTTACAAGTGGTTTTATTTTTGGACCGTTTATCACTGAAAAGTATTCATGAGGAATTGAATTAGATAACACAAAATAAATAAACAGTTTTCCTGGGTTTGTCTCAGTATGCAAGTTTGTTTCAGTAAGAAGTGATAATATATATTTATTACACACAGAGAAATATATTTCCAGTGTTTTTTTTTTTTTCTTTTTCCAGAAAAAAACCCAGATAATTATGACTTATGGATAATGAAACCCAAAAATCAGTTCATTGAAATGAAAATTTGAATATTACAAAAGATGAATCAGAGTCTGTGTTCTGTGTGCTTATGCACACCAACACTTGTTCTGGGCTCTTTCTGTATGAATTACTGGATTGAGGTGATCAGTCTTTAATATCGGCCCTCTGCTCATTTTCACTTTTTTCTCTGGTGTCTCTCTGCTTCCTTCTGAGATTCCCGGTGGGGTTTCGGGTCAGGCAAGGCCGCAGGCCAGTTTAGCACAGCAGTGCCACAGCCATTAAAGCCGGTGTTGGTATTCGTAGCAGCGGGGCCAGGTGCCGAGTCCTGCTGGAAAATAAAATCATTATCTTCATCAAGTAGTTCTGCAGAGGGAAGGATGAAGAGCTCTGATCCTGGCAGAAAGTTAATCCTGACTTTGGACATGGCTCCTAAATTTAAAACTGACTGAGGAAACTTCACACTGGACTTTAAGCAAACTGAATTATTGGTCTCTCCACTTGATTTCCAAATAAATTGCAAATTTGACTTTTATCTGAAAGTTATATTTTAGTTTGATTATGGGCCACTGAGGAAAAGTTCAGTTCTTTTTCTCCTTAGCGCAGTTAAGATATTTCAGAGAGGCTAAGCAGTGGGAATTGGACACCTGAAGCCTATTTACTGAAAACACCTGGGTCTCTCCCCGTCTGCAGCTTTACCTGATAAAATTGAACAAAATAAACACTAAAAATGTATCACTCAGTATGTAATTGATCTAGATAATATATGAATGAATTTAACAATACATTAGGTATTTTGTTTATTAAGATGCACCTGTCTAAACCTCTAACAACATTTTATTTTCAGGATTATGCAATTTGAGGGACTTCACAAATACAAGTTCTCATATAAAAAAAAAAATACCAAATTTGAGAAGGAAATTTAAAACTGGCAAAAAAAAAAAGTGGGTTTCCTTTAAAGGAAAAATAGGAATTGAAAAGTTTAACACTACATATTTTCCATCAAGTGAATCAAATGACCTGATCCGAGCCACTACGGTTTAACAAAGCCTGTTACTTTAATTAGTCTCGTTGCTCTTCAAACAACATAACGGCAGTCAGTGGTTTTCCTCAAGCAGACTTTACGAGAAAGCTCTGAAAAGGTAAGGCAGGTTTATTTTTATGGCACTGCACATGCACAAGGAAAATCAGAGCCATAAAAGGAAAGACAATGACTTGGACCTTTAAGAAGATGCTTAAAAGAAAACTTAATTTGTGAAACGCCTCAAAGTATTTTATAACAGCAAGAAATATTAAAACATGTATTCACTGCAAATCTAAATCCAAAAATAATCTTCAATCTAAGACTTTAAACAGGGATATAGTTTATTCATCAGAATCTAAAAAGGTTTTCAGTTTTTCTTTAAAGAAGCCAAAAGTGTCTGCACTTTTCTCTTTTTTAGAGAATTACTGCACCTTAAGTCCACTGATGTGCTTTTTTCTCCATTTTAGCTTCTTCGAATCTCCTCACAGGGTTTTAGTTTGAGCTGGACTTAAACATACTCGTCTTGTCTAGAAATGCACAAAGTAAAGAATACACACAGCTGGTGTGTACTGTCGATTTGGATGTTTTGTTATCATAGTTGGTGTATCTTCAGGTTGTCCTTCAGGATGTGTGAGCAGTGAATCTGAATTTGTGTTGGACTGAGCTCCCCTGAGTGACTTTACCATACAAGCAAAGTAACAAATGGTGTAGACTGAATAATTCAACTCTGAAAAGAGTATTTGATCTGGCATTTATAGGTACAGTATGTGCTTGTGGGACCTGAAGGGGGAAAGGGGGCAAATTGAATATGTTTTTTTTTTTTTTTTTTTTTTTTGGGGCAAGGGGGAAAGTTCTTTAGGAGTGAACGAAGCAGAAAAGATAAAAATGGAGGAAAAAAGAGTTGGAGGGAGGAAAATTGATAAAGACCGTGAAGGGGGTGGTCCTCCAAAATCTATTTACTCCTATCTGTGACAGACCTCTCCCTGGGGGAGGTTTTTCCAGGAAGCCTGACCCACTTTCACCCTGCAAATGCATTTTTACCACAAGCACATATCATTCATTCATGCCAGTGCTTTCATATTTTGAACATCAGTGCTGCGGTTTAAGTGCATGTAGCTCTGCACCACAGCTCAGAATATGATCCGCATTAATCTTCTATGTTAAGATTGCATTTTTGTTTAGGCTGGAGTTGAACATACAGGCATCATTGGGTGTTTTATAAAGCAGACTGTGGTGCATTTCTATAGCATAACAAATGAGGTATGTCAGATAAAGTGGTATGTGTAGGGTTTTTTTTAATGGCTACTCTCACACACACACTTTATACTTGCAACGTTAGAATTATGCCTCCATTTTGTGTCAGTATTTTTCTCTTATTCTTGCATCCAAAAGCCTGCCTCACTTCTGATTTGATCTTTCCTGAGGTGTTTTTCCCAAAGTGTGTACAGCGACACCCTGGTGCAGACGCTCAATCCACCAGGACAGGACAATCCTAAGTGCTGTAAGAAAGACAAAACATCTCCAAGAAACAAGGGAAGAAGCTCAGATGCCTTCTAGCACCTGTCCTGTCCTGGATGACTGAGAATCTATCAGCTTAACTTATTTATTTATTTTTGTATGTTCCACTAGTCTGCCTTTTTGCCACATCTCCCTTAAAACGAGCTGCTATTTCAAGGGACTTCCTGGTGAAATGAGCGTTGGATAAAACGTATATAAATGCTGTAGATGTTTGTTTAGGATTTGAACATCAACTCATCTGGAGTTGTTACTTTGAGGTTATGTTGCTTTTCATTTAGATGGATGGATGGATGGATGGATGGATGGATGGATGAATGGATGGATACCATACCATACCATACCAACTTTATTTATAAAGCACTTTAAAACAACCACAGTTGATACAAAGTGATGTACAATTTAAGAACACAACATAATAAAAGTAATTTCAAAACAGTTTAAAAACAAAAACATACAATTTAAAACTAAATCCCACTGGTGTTGAAAGCTAAGTAAAATAGATGGGTTTTAAGACGAGCTTTAAATGGATGGATGGATGAGAGTTATAGAAGAAATCTATTCAAAACTTGTAAACTCTGTAAAACACTGATGTTGAAAAGCCAAATAAACTTGGTCGAACTGAACATAATAAAAGTGCGCCGGTTGCGCGCTGCAGCTTTAAATAGCTTCGCTGACGTTAGCAGCACGGCATGTAAATTAAACACTGTGTATGGCTGTTAGTTAAAATGTTCAGCAGGATTTTGCATGAATCAAACTGAATAATGTTTCCCCACAATGCGACGCGACATAATGAGATGTGAAATGGATGTTCTCCAGTTGAAAATTACATACTTGTTAATGTATCTCCTCCTAATACAAAGACTGACTGATGATGATTCTTTTGTTTTTATGACAGGCTGCAAAGCTCCCGATGTCTATCATCATTGTCGGAGTTGGCCAAGCAGAGTTTGATGGTGAGAAAACAAACAAATAAAAAAAAAAAAAAGGAAAATATTGTTTTTGTGCGACTTTGTGTTGGCTCTGTAATGGACTTCTGAGCTATCAGAAGGATAAGTGTTTTCTACAAGAATCATCGTTTTCAGTGTAAACATAATTTTGACTTTCTTGACGACTCATTCAACAAAACAAATGTGTATCCATTTAGCACCACATCTCAGTTGGGATTATGTGATTAAGATATGTTTGTCTCTGTAGCAATGGTTGAGCTGGATGGTGATGATGTCAGAATCTCATCACGAGGAAAGTTGGCAGAGAGAGACATTGTGCAGGTAAGAAATGTTTCATGTTGATTCCCTCTAATACTTAAAAATGTTTTTTAAAAATCCCAAAAGTATTGCATTTGTTTTTAGTTTTCCTTTTTCATAGAAAAAAAAATAAAGTAAAATCTACAAATTTGTTTGTTTTGCAGTATGTGTGCATTTACAGGAGTTCATTTGTGCCCAGTTTACCTTGCGTTCTTTTTTGGGCAACAGGATGTTGTATTGTGTTTCCTTTTATTTATTAAACTCCTATATTTAAGGTTAAAATTTTCATATAGCCGCATTAAAAAAATGCAACATTCACTAAATATACTAATGCAGTAAGTCGTAAAAACGTCTCGCATGTTTCCAGTTGATAGAATTTTGAGATTTCAAACGAAAAGCTTGAAAACGATTCAGAAAAAAAAGTCATTTAAACTATTTGAAATTTAGGTTTTGAGTGTTTTTCTTAACCAAATGTTTAATTTGTCTCAAACTCACTTCTCTCATCCTCAGCAGCAAACCACAGCTTCACTAGTGTTTGGACACAGGAAGAGGTGATAAAAGAGGATTCGAATCATTTTAGTCTAAGATTAATTTGAGTCCAAATTGTGTAAAACCTAAAAACATAATGGATTCATACTCTTATGAATTATGCTGCATGAAACATACCATGAGGCAGTAGCAAGCAGTGTTGCCTTGCAGCAATAAGGTTCTGGGTTGAAATCCTGGCCTTGGCTTGTTCTGAGAGTTTTCTCCAGGTTCCTCCCCAGAGTCCAAAAATGAACTGGTTACTCTAAATTGCTCTTGGGTTTGAGTGAGTGTGTGTTTGGTATTTTGTCCTGTGGGACTCTGTTGCCCTGAGATGGAAATAATTTAGGCAATTATCTTTGTCTTTTCATTCACGATTCAGTATCGTGAGGTTCTAATAGGTACAGAAAGACGTGGCCTGCTGGAAGGAGCTTTTATTTAATATTATTATTTATATTAATATTTCATATAAAAAAAGATGATTTATTGTCTCATGTGTCACAGTTCGTACCATTCAGAGACTACATGGACCGCACAGGTAACCACGTCCTCAGCATGGCCCGGCTGGCCAAAGACGTTCTGGCTGAGATCCCGGACCAGCTGATCTCCTACATGAAGAGCAGAGCCATTAAGCCCAACCCCGTCCCCCCACCGTACTCCTCCTGCAAGCAGCCCGAGACGGAGTCTGTTTGATCCCCGCCTCTGACATCGGCACCGCCTTGGCCGGGGCAGGTTTCACATTAATGCAAACGATCCTTGTGAGGAGAAAGTGGGAATGATTTGCAGGCACTTTTACCCCAGTGAAACACACACACAACAAAACTCTATGAAGAGCCAGAGCAGAGAGACGGCTGTAGAGGAACGGGTTGGTAATCGGAGGGTTTTATTTTTTCTCTCAGAGCACCGAGAGGAGAACGATGTAAAGGGAAGCTTTAGATGTTTGCTGTCAAACCTGTCAAAGTGGTGATGTGACGGAAACCTGTAGAGCGAGGCCTTTCTGAAGGCGTACACATATTAGGATGTACCAGTTTGTATTTTGTTTGTGGTACCTTTTTGGAGTTCATGTGTTAATCTAGGGATCCTGTTATGAATACCAGTTTTTATTTATTGATTTATTGCAGAAATAATTTATTGTTTCGCAGAGATTTTATTGGGTTGGGGTATTGAAGTCATATAGAAATATATATCCTGTAGTTTTCCATCTTATATTTTGTGACCAGCATAAGGAAAACTATCATTTCTACGACCATTTCTACTTTGATAAAGCCTGTAACATAGAAGCATCGGACACAAATCTAACAACGTAGGAATCATTTTCGCTCATGGGAAATTTTTTGACTGCAAGCTGTAACATAGTCTACCGCCATACAGATTTTTCATGTCTTATATGCATTTCTAATCTTTATATAAACAGAATGCACTAATTAGTGTCAAAACAAAAGCACAAAGTCCTCATATTATTAAGTTAAATATGTTCACTTTGAAAACTCAAACCAGAATGAAAATCATTTGAAGGATGGCAGATCACATCTTACCACAGCTTTAATATTCTCTTCTAGTATTTTAGACAAATTTATTATTTAGGTATGCATAATGCTGAATATTCTTATATATTAAACTATATTTTACTTACCATATTGAGCAGGATGTTTACATAAGAATGACTGCGTAATTCCTGGCACATCCTCATACATTATCTGTATGCAAAGAAATAATTGTACTCAAACTCTTTTGCCATCTTACTATTTATTTATTTATTTCCATTGTATTTGTTGCTAGTGCATGTCGTTATCTGGAATTTTGTTTGGCAAATTTGAAGGATCCTTCAGATTTTATACTCTGATGTCAACTTGCTCCCATAATTTCTTCCTTAAATGTATTTACATTTCTTTGAAGGAGGTCTCAGCAATCAGAAATCATTGACCAGAAATTGAAATGCATTCATATGCACTTTTTTTCCCCAAATATCTAACAAATACAACAATTACTGAATGACTTGAGTTGAGCTAAAACTTGACTGTACTCAGTCTGGATCCAGTGTTTTGTCCATATCTACATGTGTATTTTTCTCCATGTGTGTTTTTCCCCCAACAACCACAGACACCATTTAAAGCTAACACTGTTTTATTTAGCCTTTAGTTGTGTAAAAAGCCTGTAAGAAGCATGAATTAATCTTTCACTGCTGTAGCATGATCTCACATTAAAGATGTTCAGAAATCCAACCTTTTATCTCACATTAAAACATTAAGAGGAGTGACTGAATCCCATTGGAAATATGGTTTAGGTTTAATCTACCTTCAATTAACCAGGATAAAAACTCTTTTTTACAAGAGTGTCCTGCACTAAGAAGGCTTCACTTTATCTGGTGTTAATTTGGCCAATTTGGCCAAAACCTGAAATGATGAAACTTTCCTCAATGCCCTTCATGCTTTACAAGTTTCTAAGTGGTTGTGGAAGAGAAACGATCCCTTAGCACAACAGATCCTCCACCATACTCAGCCGTGGCCATGAGCTTCTTTTCCACACACATTTCTCTGTTATTTTACTCCAAACTGACCTGAAGTAGTGACGGTTTTTGATTGTTGATCAATTGCTAATATGGATTCTTAGCAGCACCATTCATTATTAAACCTGAAATACTTTTTTTCCTTAACCATCTATATAATTATTTTCACTGTTTGTGTTGGACAATAAAACTTTAATGACTGCACCATCTAATGTGTGAATATGGGAAAGTTTAGGTACTTTACTGACGGTTTTTATAGGGTCTGATGTGGCAGAAATTGTCACTGGGTTGTTTTTGTTTTTGTTTTTTACCTTTTAAAAAGTTGGATTTTTCCAAATTCTTTACTGTGAGATTATGCAGACGCACCAGAAAAGCAATTCGTGTATCAAGTTTTACTTTTACAGGGTTGCCAATAACAATAGTTAATTTTTGTTATGAGTTTAAGACTTTGGACAGTTGTCGATACATCTTTGTTGATGGCATCATCTTTCAGTTCACTTTCTCCCTGTCACTCGATATCTTGACCTAGACGTGCCTACCGTTTTAAAAACATATCCAAATTAAGTTCACCTAGTGTTTTACGTGGATACATTGAAATAGTTGGAAATGATAAAACCTCCAGATTAGGACTGTCGCAGTGGCAGCTGTTGAATCACTCTGTCTCCATCGATGTTCTGTATATTTTATACCTTGAGCTTGTCACTAATGTTCTTTGGAGTAGTTGCTAAGCCTTGCTGTACACTTTTTAAAACCAAGAACTGTTTACAATTTAACCGTGGCTATTTACATTAATCACCTTTAGGACAGAAACAGCATTCATAGGTTTTATTAGGATATTTGCTTGGGTTTCTACTTTGTTGATTGATTTATTTTTCGTCTTATTGTGATTTAAAGTATTATTGAATGACAGTGGAGAACCAATGTTTACACAGGTTTGTTGCTTCATCACAGAATGAGTCAGTTTTTTTTGTATGTTTATGCAATGATCTTTCCTTGCCATTTGCTGTTTTTTTAACTCCTGCTGCTCTAAGCGCTCTCAGAGAGCTGAAAGAGTCTGATGAGTCCACAGAAACTCAGACCAGAGGCACTAAACTTCTTAGGGTTAGCTCAGAACCTTTTTTTCTTGTTTTTACATTTTACCGTCAGAAGACAAAGAGTTTAATCTGCTGCAAACGTAACCACTTCTTCTGATCTCAGACAAGGCTGCCAAGTTACATAACAAGTTATAAATAACGGTATACCTCTGCAGAAGCCATTTAGTACAAAATAAAACTGATTTATACTTCTGAAATAAAACAGCAGATTGTCATCATTTAACAGTTTGAATGTTGACAGCTTATTTGCATACAATGTTTTTTTTTTTTTTTTTTTCAGTCAGACTCTTCATTTTTCACAATGCGAAGATCATTTAGCAGCATGAAGCAAAGAAATGAGCATCATTATGCAGGTCGTAGTCTGTGACAAAACGGAGAAAAGACAGCAAAAGCATTTGAAGCAGAGGTGGTGCGCTTTCAGAGGGAAATAATGCATTCATTATGACACCAAATCAGTTTAAGTAGGATTAAATGTTGTATTTATTTATGAGCACCTCTTGTAAGAATATAAAAGGGTTTTCTTCTTTTCCCTAAGGCCAATGATACTCACAGGGAAATCAGAAAAGAAAAAAACTACCAAGGACACAATAATCACTCTTATGCAATTGTGAAACATTAAGCAGTTCTGAGTTATATTTTTCAGCAGCAGAGCAATTTATTTTCCTTCGCGGAAGTTGATTTTATTTGCTATTTCTTTTTAGCTGGTCTTAGAGGCTGAACTCTAATTATGTACATAAGCCCTGTATGAGGAACGTCCAGTGCCAACGTGTTCAGTTGTTGAACTTTAGCCTCTGTAGACAGTGTGCATGTTTGTGCCAAAGTGGCAGGAAGTTTGGTGGTTTCTCTTCATTTCACCTGATTATCGCATCTCCCACTGACTTTATTTGTGACAGAGGGCGCCGTTCAGGCATGACGGCCTCTTCCGGCATGTTGCATCTCTGAGCTTTGTTTCCATTCTTTTCCTATCAGAAACATACTGAATGGGTTCTTCTTGCCACTGCTCCTGTTTTAACCCAGGTTGTTTACATACCTCTTTTGATCTCTGACTTGCATGCTGAAAAAAAAAACTAAACTATTTCCAAACCAAGTGTTGGACACAATACTGTCGTCATACTGTGGTTTGTGAAATGCTTTGTAATGGATTGCCTTAACTGAAGATCAATAAACTATTGATAACTTTGGCAGAATGTGGTGCAGAGTTTTTCTTTTTAAATCTAGCAGATAATGGACTGAGCTGCAAGTTTGTGATAATTTAAGAAATCACAACAAAACGGCATATTTTTACAGGCAATTCCCACCAGAGAAGTCCAGCATTTGAGCAAAGTTTTTGAAGAGAAACAGTGGATCTCAAATGTGTAAACACATAATTTAATGCCAGCTTGTAGAGCTCGTCCATCTATTATCTATATCTGCTTGTCTTCATGGAGGACTGGTGCCTATTTATATCAGTCAAATGCACAAGAGGCAGGGAAATCCTGGACAAGTTGCCAGTACATCAAAGTAATAGACAAGGGAAACACAGAGACACACAACTATTCAACATACGCTCACTCTTAAGTGCAATGTAGAGACACCAATTAATCTGTCATGCAGTTTTTTACACAGCTGGTGGAAACCAGAGAACCCCGTACATAAATTACCTGCAAGAAACCTGTGGCTAAAGAGGATATTCCTCCTCTGAGTCAGTGAGTCCACTCATATGATTGACTTCAACAGATGGGGGGGGAAAAAATGAAGTTTTGAAAAAGCTGAACCAGAATCAAGAGCCAAATCTGAAAGAAAATCATTACAAGTAAAGCTCATACTATCATGTTTCCAGGTAAATATTTCTTACCTCAGTTACACATGTTTCATCACACAAAAGCACATCAGACCAGATTGGTTGAAACACAGTATAAATATATATAGTTTAGTCAATTTTATATTAAGTATTTCTATGCTAGGTTTTGTGTTTTGGTTCTTGCCTCAAACACGTTTTCCTCTCACTTGTGGGTTTGCATGCATCTGCAAACTCTGAACAATATGTGATAATTTGGCTCTGCTGCATGCTGCTTCTTTGCTCCCAGTAATTTGATGGTAACATTACAGCATTCTGTCAAAGCGCTTCTTCTGGCCATTATGCAAGTTCTCTCAGATATGCATTGTGCTGATCCCTCCTGGTTTTATCTGTGTTCGCACTAACTGTGAATTTTGTCTGTTCTGGTGAATCACTGTGGCGTATACTGCTCCTCACGTTTGGGAGAAAACAAACACAACTGCAAAAATGTCATTTTGAGAATCTTCCAAAATAGTCGAGTCATTCATTGTTGCACACAGTTTGATGCAGCAGTGATTAATTCATTAAATCACCAGTTTTTGACCAAGTTATCAGAGAGTCTTCAAAACTCCTCATAACAAAACCAATTGTTTTGTTGAACTACTGTCGTAAGTGCTTTGTCTTTAGAGTATCGATAATTATTTTTGGTAACATCTGCTGTGATTACTTAGTTGAACATGCTTTATAATCATTAAAACATTTCTGTACAAACTTGAAGAATTTGCTCTTCAACTGTATCTTTTCAATCTCTAAAAACACATTTTAAAGAGAAACATCAATGTTCATCAAAGACACATTATAAACTGCATAAAGAGATGCAGGAATGAAATGATGTATTTTCATCTCCACCCCTGATGCTTTCTTTTCTTTATGAAGGAATACATCTGAAAATGCTCTATAATCTTGACGAAGCTTAATGCCAGTATTTAGCAGGTCTGACTCGATGTCAGAAAACAAACAGCTTTTCATTTCAGCCAGCAGATGTCTTACCTCACACAGGAGCAGCCTGCGCGCTAACAAAACATCTTCCTTTGAATTTCTTTCAAAAATCTTTAAGAAAGGGCACATAGCTTTGAAAATAAACTCCAAGGTCTCTTCTTTGTTGTTTTTTTTTCCTATATGACCAACAGAGCTGCAGCCTGGTCAACATTTATAAAGTAACCTTTATTTACCAGGTCAGCAGAAGAGCATCACATCCTGAACACCAGCAAACACTTATGATTCTCTTCAACAACAGAACCAAACCTAAATATTTAGTGCATGATTGCAGACTATTACTGCTGTTATATAAAGGCTCAGTCATGTCATGTTAGTTATTTTTCTTTGTTTAGCTTTTCTTATTTCCGTGTTCTGTGCATTTCAGCTCATCCTCTTGTTAGCGTGAGAATAAGCCGAGAGCTGTAGGCATTCACACTCTTGAGATCCTTCACATTTTTTCCCCTATACACTTTTCACCACTTAACTATTTCTGCATACTTTGTGCTATTTCAACCATTAAACTTTTACCATATTCTGCTCATTCAGGACATTCTGCCTTTGTACTTTGTTATTTATATCTTCTACAGTTTATGAAATATTCAGCTTTTTGGGTCCCTTTGAAGTGAACGAAAAATCCCATGATTTCTGAAAAATTCTGCTAAAAACTTTGCGCTCTTTCATGGCTAACTACTTCCACAAACCTTCAGCTAGAACTGCCATCCAAATGGTGAGATGCAGTCATATCCTTCAACTACTTCTGTTTATTCAGGGAGGTACAATCCTTCTTCAGGTTTTTGCTTGCATTATGCTCAGTCTTCAGAAAAAAAAAAAAACATGGGTTTTTCTGGTCGCTAAGAAAGCACTGAGGGTCTTTGCAACCCTCATGCAAACCCGAAATCCAACCCTATTTCCAACACTCATTCAAATTTTCCTTCCAATCCTAATCCAGATCCTCAAACATTTAAAGTTAATATATATGTTTAGATGGTTTATCTTATGTGGGAAGACAAAGTGACTTTCATCCCGTGTCTTCCCACATCCTCAACTGACTGAACTCCAAATCACCAAGTTAAATATCATCACATAGTTATTTGTTCTTTCCAAGAAATGGTGATTCATATTTTTTTTTTCCAGTAATAAAAAAACATCCCAAATCAGGATTTTCCAGAGCTGTAAAACATTTGTAACCCCTCGACCTTCATCATCACTGAGCTTCCCACTAAGCCCGCTTGCATCCGCTGCTAAAATAAAGATGTTGAACCCTGATCCATTCAGAATAGACCATCCCTCCATCTGATTCATTTGAAAAAAGACCATTGAATGCAGGAAATGGAAGATCTTCTATAATTATGAACTGAAATACAACAGCACCGTGCCATCACCCAGATGTTCCTGTCACTCTCTGATCGTTAGCTGCACCACTTCTGATCTACCTCGTCTCCAGATGAGGATCTGTCTGCCTCCACAGGCTCAGACCAAA